ATAAACGAAATAAACGAAAAATTCCGTATAAACAGAAAAATTCGAATCTGTCTTAAGATTGTTGGAACAATCTTCTGTATACAATAAATAAATTGAAACAAATTAAACAAATAAATAAATTACTTACAAAATTTATTTTATCAAACTGAATAAAAAGATCAAGTCGAGTGTGTGGCACTCTGTCCTTAAGACAGATTCGCCCTGCTACGGTGCTTACGGATAAAAGGCGTCTATCTCTCAAGATACATTGATCTTCACAAATTATAGTAGCACTCCAAACAACTAGTACGACGAACAAAATCTGTGTTCTATACTTTCTAAATTTTTTTCTAAAATTATATGAAGAATATATATGCAACAAATCAGAATCTGGACAGCAAAAATGAATTTTTTCCAATACCAAAGATTGTTGGAAATAGTTGTATTTATAGACAAACCACGACTGTCCGAACAGGTTCAATTTGAACCGAACAAGTGTAGATTTGAATGAACAGATATAGTTTGAATTCAAACAGATCTGGTGGCAGATTCAAACAGATAACTGCACGGCAGTTTCAATCTATGTGGGCAATTATAAAATTGCTGGAAATGGATTGGAAAAAAAGGGATTGTTTGGACTGCAAAAAATTAATTTAAATTGTTTAGAAATTCAAATGATTTTCTCGCAAGAATTTAGAAAAATTCAAATAAATTTTGTCCAAAAAATTAATATTAGAATCACGGCCGGCTAGCGGTGGCGTGCACGCGTGTGGTAGTTTGGGCTGAGGTTCACTTTGTCCATAACTCTTCCCTTTTACAAACTTGGGGTGCCCCTTGGGGCCCAACCCAAGTGTTGTCACTTAGAACTTATATACACACATAAGTTCTCTTAAGTTTCCAATATGAGACAAGCCTTACAAGGAAACCTACATTTAATTCTTTAATTTGTCCATTCCACAAACTCGAAAACGACGTCAACTTCTCATTTACTCATAAATAGTTTTGATAAACCGTCTTCACCGTGTAACTTTCCATACAATAAGGAACACGTCACCTCTTCAGATCCACTCCAAAAGACGTTTGGAATCCACTCAAATTTAGGCTCAAAATTGACTCAAAATAAGCCTATAAAAAAACCAAAATTTTCAACAATATATATATATATATATATAAATTAATTAATTGAAGTTGACTTCACAAAATGTAATGAGTTTAAAAAATAGAGGTAGGATACAAAGCGCCTCCTCTACGTGGGTTGGATAAATCTCGGACAGAACCCACATGCGTGGCCTTAAGAAGTGAATTGCTCCTAATAGAAGTTGAACCTGAGACCTAGAGGAACTAGTACACCCTTAGAGCCCAAGTTACCCTCACTAGGATCTCAATATATATATATATATATATATATTTAAAAAAATAATTAACCTATCATCCTTGTCTAATTTTTTAATAATAGAAAAGATCATAATATTTTTTTTTTATTGCTTAGGATCGCTCATCCACACGCATATATCGCACCCACTCCCTTTAAAAAATCCACCAATTCAAACTCAAGCAACAGTCGACAAAACCCAACCAATATATAATAATGCACTTCAACTTCAGCTACGCAAAAGCGACAATACATATACATATACATATATATGTATAACAGTAATATATATGTATAACAGTAATTTGTGCGATGCACGAAAAAATATACTATATATATTTTACACGATAAATGAATCATCTTAATATTAAATTATATTTTAATAACGACAAGCTATGATATTAAACCACCTGGATAGATGTTAACATAATTAACCTACAAAATTTCACAATATAATTTGATATGCATAAAAAATTATTAATTATAAAAATTGTTGAGAATAATAATATCACAATCACTTGATAAAAATATAAATAACTTGTATTAAATTAAACAAAACATTAAAAGAGAGAAATTCTATAAACTCATAAAAGTTATCATAAATTTACTTGGACTTTTAATTTAGTGGTGTATATTATTATAGGATCAAATTATGAATAAATATCAACTTTTAATTATAATTTATAAGTAGTTTTTAAAAAAATTTAATCTAAGTTTGTTACCTTGCTCATAAAAAAAATTTCTCAAACAAATCATTAATTGATTATATTAGCAACTTTCTATCTTTGATTTCCCTATTAATAACACATGCATATCATATTAAAGTATAATTAATTAATTACCTAAAAGTCCTATTTACAAATGTTATGGTAACTTAGGTTTTATTTAAGATTTTTTGAACCAATAAGTCCTATTTAGTAAAACTGAGAATATTATCAGTTTTTCCAAATTTTTTAACATTATCAATTTTGCATAGTAATATTCCAGATAATTGTTTCACTAACTGATTAAAAAAAAAAAACTGAGCATGGAATTAAATGTTTTTACCTTTCTATTTATTTGTTTGATTCAACTATCAAATAAAACTGATAATATTAATAGATTTTTTCAGTTTTAAAACTGAGAACATTATCAGTTTTTTCATTTTCAAAGTTTTACACATCAATGTTCCATCATCATACTTATTTATAGATACAAATTTTTTATTTTTGCACAAAAAAATAATTCTATTTTTTTCAAAAAAAAAAAAAAATTTTTTTTTTTTTGCACATAATTTTTTTTTTTTCAATTTTTGCAATTTGAAAGGTGATGTTTTAAAGTTTTCAAAATCAAAATAATTGTCAAATCATTATGTTCTTTTATAGATAATTATAAATGATGAATAAGGATAATTCTAATTATTAAAAATTTAATGGGATTTAAAAGTCCAAAAAATCTTAATTAGGACTAAACGGAATATAAGTTCATAAATTAGACTTGTGTGTAAATGTCCCATATATAAATCCTTCTCCATAATTTGAATAATACTTGCATAGTTCCTACATTATTTTAAAAAAATTAATCAAGATAAGAATTTCGTAAAATTATAAAAATTATATAAGAAAATAGTTTAAATCCATTTTATTTATAAAAAAATTGATAAAAAATTATTTGAATTGTACTTGAAGAAATATAATGAATGATAGCTTTAATCATTATATACCAAAAAAAAAATTATATAGGTTACTCAACGAAAAAAAGTTATGGACATTGACTTAAATCATATGGGCTCTAAATTGATAGTATAATCCAGTAAATCAACTAATAATAACATAGAGATATTGACAAATATGTAGTACTTCTCTATCATCTTTGTATTATATTCATTAATTTCACATATCATATGAAAATTTTACTCGTCTTGATCCTTCAATAAAATAAGGATCAAGAAAACAAATTTGATAAGAAATTGATTCTAAACTTTATTATTGAAAAAACAAAAAATTTCAAAGAGAGAGTTTAGAAATGGGATTGAAGAAATACTATAACTAATGACAACCTTATAAAAAAAATAATAAATAACAATAATCTAATGCAAACTATTTTTAACAAGAAAGAATATTAAATTATTACTTTAGAAAAATATAATCTTGTAAAAATATTAAGAGACCCCAACTACTATAAAAATATTACATATCATTTATCTTATAAAATCTCAATATCAATAACCTTAAAAAAAAATGCCCCTAGTTTAAATTAAGACAAGCCAAAATGTTGCCATTACCATTTTTCTTAAAATAAAGAGGGTTGAATGAAAATAAGGATATTTGGTTAAAAGTGTTTTTTTGGTCCCAATTTTTTTTTTATATTTATTTATCCCTGGAGAAGAACAGTTTTTTTTCATTAATGGCAAACAAATTTGTTTATATTTTTTTAAGGCAATTTTATCCTTAATAATTACTTTTTATAGTTCAAATTTTAAATTGATATAACTTTTGATATATATATTATTTTTAATAAAATTAACAACCTTAGAATCCTCTAGTCAAGATCTATTAAACAAAATTCATATTAGTTATGAATTTTTTTAAAAAAAATATCATTTTTCTTTTCTTGTTGAAACTAATGTCAACAATAAAATTTACCATGAATCAAAATAAAATTTTAATTGTAACATAGAGTAAAATTTTACTCTTTACGTAAATTACGATGATAATCTTATTTTATTTTTATTTTTTTTAAAGAATTTCATAATCAACCTAGACTCAATCTTATTTGATAGATCTTGATGAGAAGATTCTAAAAATATTGTTTTCATTAAAAATCAACATATAAATCAAAAGTTATAAGTACCATTTTAAAGTTTAAAATATTAAATTAATATATTTTGATAATAATAATGTGCTCCACTTTTAAAGAAAAAGTTTTTTGTATTTGTCCTCAGCACATTAATTTTATTATAGAACAATTTTGACCTAATCCCCTTTATTTTTTTAAGAAGGATTTTTTAAATAATAGATTTTGGGAAAAAATTGTTTGCTTTGTTTGAAATTTTTTTTGTAATTAAAATTATTTTAACTATAAATTTAACTGACAATAATATAGAAATATGATTAAAAATTTTAAATTCCAAACTATGAAAGCATAAATGAAACCTAAACAAAAATAAAAATAATTATGTACATCATCTACCAACCGGGATGGATAAAATTAGCCCGTTTGGTAAGACTTATTTCCAACTTATTTCAGCTTTTAGCTTAATTTAAGCTATTTTGATGTGTTTGGTTCAACTTAACAATACAGCTTATAGCTTTTTGTAAGTCAAAAATCAACTTATTTTTTGAGTGAGAAACGGCCTAGTTTGGGAAGACTAAATAAGTGCACTTTTTGACTTTTTATGAAATATGAGTTGGGTTTGATTTGAGTTTGAAGTGATGGTTAGAGAGGTGATGTGACTTAAATAAGACGATGTGACTTAAATAGGATAGTGACTTTTTGACTTTTTATCTTTTTTCAATCATGCCAAACTTGGCCAATTTATAAGTAAAAAATCAGCTTATCTTCACAGTTATAAGCTATAAGCTGTTAGACTAAAAGTTATAATCACTTTCCCACAGTTCTACCAAACGGGCCTAATAAAATAACATGCTAAAGATGAGTTCGAATCCTCTAGTGCAAGGCTGTGTAATGCATTTTGTTATTCATCAAAACCATATCGTTTTGGTGTAAAAAAATAGAGAGGGAAACGGAGCTCACCTCGGCTAGCTAGCCCTTTGTAAAACTCTAAAATACTACAAACAAGAGACTGGGAATATCGAATGACTCTGAATTAGTGATACATAGTTCAAACATGCTTGGATCAAAAAATATTCTGAGTCCCACATTAAACCATTGAATGATCAAGATCTTATTTTCTATATTTCAAGCTACCTTGGCCGACTGCTCCTTTTGAACCCAGAAGTTTATGAGAAATGAGTCCATTACAATCTACAGCATAAACTTCTGTCAGCTACGATCGACCTAAAAAGGAAATAAATGAAAGTAAAAGTACGATCTGACCTGGTTCAGATGTGCGGCGACACAAGGAAGAACCAGCAAGCCAGATTCACCCAATGCACCACCAAGCTGCTCCACGACTGCTACCATCACAGGCAGAGTTTTCTAGAAAAACGTGCAACAATATTTATCAAGATTGCCTAAAAATAATCCAAGAAAAGATTAAAATAAAGCCCAAAACAATCATATGTACCTGGCTTGCAACAAGTAGAAGAGCAACGGCATTTTCTCTCTTAGCAAACATAGATTTGCTACCACCAGACACAGTCGAGAGTCCTTGTATTGCAAGAGCATTGAAAGCTAGAAGGCTGAGATGCAGAAGCCTGCAACATGAGACAACGATCCTGTCAGTTTGTGGCTTGCAGATATCAAGGCCCAATAAGTGAATGAACCAATCATCTCACAGAGTTCTGATGCCAAAAACCAAACATCAATGTAGCTCCTAATTAGATTGTCCATGCCAAAATCAACTTGATAAACAAATCTGACCAGATTTAGAATTACAAGAACTGATATATATATATATATATATAATAGAAAAAAGTTAACACCATAATAGGAAATTCAAAATTGCTGCCACAACCAATTTTGAACGCTTCTATCAATTTGAAAACCTGACAGAAAGGTGGGTCCTACATTTGATACATAAATTAGTCAATAGGCATAATGTAGAGCAAAGGATGAAACATTCTGAGCAGGCGTAAATTAAACTCATTGCATCTCATAGACTGGACTGGTACAATATATTAGAAGTAGTAGTTGCAACTTTAATAAGAACATGATGGAAGTAGGGTAAACTAGCATGACAGCTAGTTTGTTTGTCATAAGAACAGGAAGGAGTGAAGTTCAGTCATAAAGTAAGATGCATGACAGCTATTTTGTTTGTCTAATCCAACACAAAATTACCAATCACAACATGAGCAATCTTCAAAACCTCATCAAATAAAAGAGCCCTCAATATCACAATATACATTAGAGAGATCAAAAGTTTGATATGAAGAGCCAAAAAAGGGAGATTCATAATGAACATACGCTCCCATCCCAACGGCAACCAGAAAAACTGCAGGCTTAACCATTAGCAGCATCGAGCTCGATCTACTCACCTGTATCCATGGCACCTGCATTACAATTGAAAGGTTTTACAGTGACCCCCAAACAGCAAAACCTTGGGGGCACATGAAAGGAGAAGAATAAACATTTGGATCAAACAATTCTTAAAATGAAGAGAAACTTGAACCTAGGTTTTTGCAGGATACAAACCTTAAAAATTAGAGAGGATCAAATTTGTGAAACTTCTTGTGGAAAAGTTTCACTGCCAATCTAGTCACAGGTTCTGATTAAATTTGAATTTTTTTGAATTCTTAAACATTTTACACTCTTCAAATCCTATGAAGAGAAGTTTGATACAGTTTGATTATTTCTCCCTCATAGTGAGGGTTGTATTGAGTGGGCTAGGTGGTTGCTTTGGCTTGTAAATATGCGGTGTCGCAGTTGGACTATAATTTTCCAATCTGATGTAATTATTCTCATATTTGCAATTACTCTCCTATCGATTGGCCAAAAAAACATTTTGGCTGAAATTACAAAAAATTTAACCAAATTCCATGGAGCTAACACAACTTTAAATGGTTGTTTTCACCCAAATAATATATTCTTATGAATTTGGGCAGATCTCTAGTTTAACGCAAAACTTTTTCAGTTCATATTATGTCCTACTTGGTTTCAAGCATCCAATTGGAAGTTAAATTTAGCAGGATGCCATGATAGACACTTAAAAATTAAATGAATAAAAGCTAAGAAATAGACAGTCTAAAGAATATAGAAACTGTGCAACATAAGATATTCTACGAAGAAAACATCTGATATTCTAAATAAGATTAATCCTGAACAAAAACAAGAAAACATAAACAGCACAACCAGACAATTATGTAATATGGTATGAAACACTCCCAATCTCTTAAAACAATGCCCCTAACAGACTAAAACTCAAACTTAATTGAAAACCATATAATTGCAACAAACTAAGAAATAAAGAAACTAATGCACTAAAGAACTGACAGACAATTTACCCACTGATTTTGTAGGCTCGGCCTTGGTTTTGTGCTTCTCTAGAGGCTAAGTTTTGGATAAACAGCTGCTATTGCATCATTTACACTAACAAACTTGGGGAAAGTTAATTGACCAGTCTATATTTCCAATCTAAGCATGAATTTTAAAGCAGACTGTCAACTGACACTGTGACCACTATTGAAATAGGAACTTTCAGTTTGAACAAGATCTTTACAGAATGAATTAAGAAAAGATTAATCTTCCTTACTATATTATAATTATGGTTCTACTAAAGCGTAGACAAGACTATTACACTAACTGCACCAACGCAATTGGAAGGAAACCATGCAGCCTTACAATCCAAACCCGACATAGTTTGCCAACCAATACATGAATGAATATAGTATGACAAATATTACATTAATAAACTAATATTGGTCATTCTGAGATTATAAGAAATCAAACCCAAGGTTTATGACTTACCAAACCAAGTAAGAGTGCACTAATCACTGAAAAAAGCTTGCGATGTTGATCAACAAAGACTGCCAAGCCTGCAGTGCAACTCTAATCAGGTCTAATCATATAAACTGTATTTCTTAGCAATTGAAAGGTTATTTTAACGGCTAATATCAGACCATGTAGCCTCATTGTTAACTTATAATATTGTATTCTAGAAACAAAGGGAAATTGACACTTAATTTTGCTTGTAAATGATTATTGCTCATTGTTAGATATTTTGCATATTTTTCTGTCTTACTGTTTACAGTGCATGACATGTTATGAGATGCAATCTAAAAAATAGAGAAACAAGAAACCAAAATCTGATTTAGCACACAATTCAACAATAACAATTAGCATTTCAGTAGCACATTCAACTGTATAAAATCACCAAATGCGCTACAGTTAAGAAGATTTTTGAGGGGGGGGGAGGGGGGGCATTTCAACACCAGAAATATTGGTTTTTTTTCTACATATGTTGGTTGGACCAGAGGGATGTTAATTTGATACTAGTAACAAGAGGAACTAAGTGTTGTTAACTACTGTTTCACTACAATACATGCTAGGCTTGACATGTTAAATTAAACGAGGATCATGAATTTCTAAAATCACGTAAAGAATATAGAGCATTCACCTTTGAAGGATTCTCGAAAAACCTGTTGATTAAAAGGCATAAATTAATGCAGGAGAATATAAAACAACATATAGTGGAAGCAATGTGAGCAAACTCCTGCAAAAAGGATCTCCTTTACATGCAGTAACTCAAAATAAAAATGTATTGATAACACTTTCAGCAATGCGAGTAGTACAGCTTAAACAGTAAGGAGAGTGTGCTGTGTGTTAAGACAAGAAAAAAGATAAGTGCTACAGCATTTAAACATTCTTTCAGAACTACTTGCTCCAAAATACTTCTTAAGCATAAGCACAGAATTTTGGAAAAGATTTATAGGAATTCTAAAATAAAATGACTCTAGGATTCACTGAGCTTCGCATATATAAATAAATTAAAATTGACATCAGCTTCCAAATCTTTGACCCAAAAAAATGCCCTTTTTAAAGGTTTTTTTTTCTTTTTCTTTCCATTAATCAATCCTCAGTGGGCATTCGAGTTTAATTGGCCTCTACAACTGAAAAATGAGTAAAAATGAAAATACCCCCCTACAAGAATTTAACATGAGGCATAGCTAGGATGTCCCAGACTACCAGGAGTCAGGAACCTGAGTTCTTTAGAAGAAGATAAGGCCGCCCAAATGCAAGTCAATGCAATGCAAGCAAATAAGAGAAAAAGAAACAACAAAAGACCAACTCCAAATAACATAAAAGTAGCAAAATGCATGATCCCTCTCCTTATTCTCTAAAGTAAGAAGCAATAGAAAGCAGCCCAAAAGGAATTGAGAGGCTCTTGTTTTCATGAAAATATAAATTAGGAACAGCGAGACATCACAGGAAATTCTTTTCTTTTATGTGAAAATTGCCTATATTGTTTCTATAAAGGAAGCAGAGACATTACCTTCCCCAAAAGAAGAGGGACCAGAAGCGTTAGAACAAGGTTTCTGAACAACTGTTTGGTAGGAACAGATACACCAACTCCATTAGCTATCAACACCGAGATAGAAAAGGGCACCTAAAAATGAAGTTATTTAAGTATGCAATTGTAATTAATTTATATATTAAAAAGAAAAACACTTGAAGTCAAGGTTAATGAACCAAGCTTGGGAAAATATGGCATGCATTGAAAAGAGATCAAGGCTTCTGAAACTATAATAGAGAGACACACATGAGCATGCACATGCACAAAGAGAGAAGAGAGAGAGACATAAAGACAAACATACATAACAAGTAATTTTAACAAACATGGATATGTAGATCAAGAAGCAGGTAAGATAGAGCATGCACAAACTAAAGACAAGAAAACTGTACTTCCATAAAAAAAAACTGGGCAAGTTCCCTATCATCTCAGGCACAAGGAAGTATGTCCATTGCATAACTAGTTAATATATTCTACTTGATGGGGTGTAGAACAAACAAGAATATCACCCATGCAACCCACCAACACCCATAACAACAAAAGTTTCAGAAGAAGCTGGGCACTCTGAGTTTGAGGTAACAACTAGAGCATACAATAAAAGTTTCCAACATGATCGATATGAAAGGTAGCTTGAAAAGTGGTTAGGAGTGACATTCTGAACTTTGGAGTGACATGAACTTGTACAGTCATCAAGATCCCCTATGTGATATGTAGATCAAGAAGCAGGTAAGACACTAGCATCTGGATGCCTGACGTCAAGATGCAGAGGAAAGACAAACATCAAATCCAACTCAAAAAAAGGAATAAGAAACATCAAAGATAGTACAACTATGGAAACTTGCAGAAATACTTGAATTACAGTTCAAAAAGATCTAAGTTTGGTGTAAACACCAAATGTAATAAGGCAACAAAACTTACAGCAATGAAACTAAAACTAAAATTGCTTTGAACAAGTATGTAAGCATAATGCAATGTTTTAATGAATAGCTTACAAACAAGATTCCCAGCAGATTAGATATTACAGTCATTGCAAGCGCAAGAGCAGAATTCCCCCCAGCAAGCTGCATTTCAGCAATTAAATCCTGTTGTCAAACTTCCAACTATTTTTCTGTCCTGGTCTACTGCTAAACCAAAATGGAGCAAAAACTTAAATCGAGGGAAAATTAGTAAGAATTAACATACCCGAGTCAGCGCTACTCCACTTGATAATGTTGTTGGCATACAGCTAAATATGGCCAGCCCTGTAGGAAGCAGAACCACTAACAAAATGTTGCAAAGAATATATAGAAAATAGCAAATGACTGCTTCAATCAATTGTTAACCCCCCACCCCCCTTGCCTCCCCTCTTCCCAACCACAATATTGAAATGAAATGGCTGAACTCTCTCATCTTTCTGGATTTTCCTCCAATCAAGTGACAAGTGAGCTAGGGTTGAGGACAATATATATTTCTTGGTGTCAACACAAAGAGCAAAGAAAATTTGAGTGCATGGATGGAAGAGGGCCTGAAAATATTAGATTTGATAGCATATAAGTAGTTGGAAATACTAAAGGGGGAGTGGCTGGAACTTCTGGGAATCAAAGATACTGTGCTTGAACTACTTGAATTCTGCAGATTCTGGATGCTAATATGTAACTATTAAACAAAAAGACATGATGCATAGATAAAGAAAATAAATAAACAGTTACAGGAACCTCCAGAACAAAGACTAAGCCAGAACAGCCTAAAAACTAAAGAATGAAAACACCACCCCATGAGAAAAGACCTTCAAAAAGAAATCTGGATGTGTAAAACCATATGAAAAACATCAATCTATACTGCATTAGAGTATCCTCGTCAGTCCTTAAGAAGCTTGTGCTTATACAGGGTGAAATTAGTCCAGCTTTTTTTTTTTTTTTGGGTAGGTCTAATACAACCAATTTCATATGTTATCTATTAGTTGCTTTTAGCCAAATAATATATTTCAACTTAGGTCAAGAATTGATTAGTAATTCTTCGACTAAGGCTGCAAAACACTACAAACCAAGCCCAATTGTGATACCTGTGACAAATTCTTGAGGCTCGAGCTGAAGTTGCAAAATAAACCTTGAAAATAAGGGAGTCAACAACAAGATAGAACCCTACACTGACAAGAAGAACAACCATTTAGTATTATATCAAGAACTAAAATTTGAAGGAAAAAAAGAAAAAAAAAGAGGAATAATTGGAACTAAACATTTTAAAGGTAAGGTAGTAACAGTTACGACAATAGGAGACAGAATAATAGCAATTAAACTTGTTGAAACAAGTATAATTAATGTGGTTAGCGCCTATGCACGCCAAATAGGATTGGAGGAACATATTAAAAGACAGTTTTGGGATCAACTAATGAGTTAATGAAAAAAATACCTTTAGGAGAGAAGATAATAGGTGGAGATTTCAATGGTCATGTAAAAAAAGATAAGTACAGATGCAAGACGGTACATGGTAGATATGATTTTAGTGACCGAAACAAGGCCAAAGAAGGCATCTTAGATTCGCAGTAGCAATTAATTGTATAGTGACCAATACTTTCTTTAAAAATAAAAAGTAAATAAAAAATAAAAAAAACCAGAGAAGAACACTTAATAACTTTTAAAAGTGGGGGTCAAATAAGAGTCAAACTGTCAAATAAATTACTTTCTCGTAAGAAAATAAACCGCTTAATATGTAAAGAACAATTTTTTAAGTTTTTGTAAAAATAAACAGAAAACTATAAACATAAATGTTACCAAGCATGCCCTTAATGTTTGAAGGTACACAGGGATTATTTAGATTGAACAGTTATTACACACAATAACATGTTGTAACGTTTAAAAATGAATGGATGAAACAGGAAGAATAGTGATGACACTACATATAACATTAAATATTACAGATCACTAGATCTTGTGATCAGAAAATTGGTATCACTTAAGCAGACACAGATCCATAAATCCTCCTCTCCATTAAAGAAGGACAGGAAAGAAATTCTTTGGAGAATGAACCTACAAAAATCATAATGGCACTTAAGAAATTTGAGGTCATACTAGCCCAAAAATTCCAACTGGCCATGCCTCAGCAGCTGCACCAATTTCTTCACTACGCAAAGTTAAACCTGCATCATGGAAAATCCATGGATAGCATCACAAACAATATAGCAGATGAAAAAATTATTTATGTAAGAATCTTACCAGATATAATAAATATCCCAAAAGTGCTAAATTTTGACATATAGTATCTATCAGCCAGACAACCAAGACTAGGGTTAACTAGCCCAAACAGCACCCCACCAACAAGAGCTGCAAATAATAATAGAAAATCAAGCATTAAGTTTCGTGATAACAATGGCAAGTGACAACAATAGCAAGACAACATATAATTACAAAAAATCAACCTTAGTCGTAAGCCAACTTTTACAAAATCAGAATATATTAACATTAAGTAAGAAAATAAACATTCTCAACCCGAGATAGAAGAGAGTCATTGGCAAGGTGATTTAAGAGAGTCCAAATGCTTTTATGGAAGGCAAATAGATTTTGGATGCCGCCCTTGTGGCTAATAATAAGGCAGTCAATTCCAGATTGAAGAGTCATTTGTCAAGTGTGTTCTGTAAGTTGGATATTGAGAAAACCTATGATCACGTGTGTTGGATTTTCTATTGAACCTAAGGTTTCAAGTAATGGTTGCAGTCTCCATAATGGTAACAGTAACGAAGGCAGTGACGCGGTTCCAAGGTGTACTGGGTTGCAACAAAAGGAGCCGTGACATTTTTTTATTGGAGAGTCGTACATATGTGTTCAAGGATCACCCTATTGACATATTTTTGCCAGTAAAATTTTGTTTATCAAACAAAAAAAAACCATGTTCCGTTTCCTTTATATTTTTGTTTTCATACGCTAAAGTGGATGTATGTCAAGACTAAAAAAGACAAAGTTAAAGAATGAGTATATTCGTGAAATAGAAGATAAGTTAAAAGATAATAGATCGAGATAATTTGGTCATATACGACGGAGACCTGTAGTGAAAAGAAGTGATAGAACGACGGTAGATTGTAGTGAAAAGAAGTGATAAAACGACGGTAAATGGAAGTGTTAGGAGACGAGACGAGACAGACCTAAATTGACGTGGGTGAGTATAGTAAATAGAGATATAAATCTCCTTAATCTGACTAAACAAATGGCCGTTGAAAGAGTTGAGTAGAAAAAAAAGATTTATACAGCCAACCCCATTTGATGGTCCTTAAAGGCTTGGTTTGGTTTCATTTATGCCTCTGCTACGATGCTTGGAATATTCCTCAACTTGTATATAGTACGGTATAACCCATTTATTCTTCCATTCCTCAAGATGAAACAAAATACAAGGTGATGAAATATACACAATACATTCATATACAACATGCATAGCAAATATAAAATCGAGAAAGCAACAGAAAAAACACAATTATGACATGGATGAACATCAAACGAAAAAAAATATACAAAAATACCTAACGGAAGAAAATTGTTGGATGCAAAAGTCAACAATTTTCTCGCCAAAATTGAGGCCGCGGCAGAACCGGGAACCTTAGAAGAATGATTTCCATTACCACGGACCTGAAACACAACACGATTCACAGTATAGACAAAGTTGAAATTGACGATACGTGAATGCAAAAGCGATTAGAGCAGACCTGATCGGAGTGGTGATTGGCTCTGATGGGGCTTGAAATTGAATGGGTTTTACGAAGAAGTAATGGGGTGGGACTGGAATTGAAGGTGTGACCAAAGAGAAGTCCGGCGTGGATCGCCGGAGAATGTGGAATTCGGGGACGATAGGGTAGGGTTCCGGCCGATCCAGGTCGGAAACTTAGGGTTTGTAGAGTTCCCGCCATTGCCAGAGAAAGGGATAGAGAGCACTGAACTGAAGTTGCAGCTCCAGTCCCAGCTGAAACATGTGGCATATTTCGACAATAAATTGGAATTTTATGATTAAAGGAAAATATTTCAAAAAATATTTTCTTTTAAAAAGTATATTGGCAACATTTCAAGATTTTGGTCCACAAACATTTTGAACTTTTCAAAAATAAAAATAGATTTTATCTACATAAATTTATTTATTTTTGTTGATTAGATTAAACTTTACTTTTATTTTTTATCATAACTAAATACTAGAAAATAAAAAAAGAAATTCAAAATAACAACATAATAGTTATTTGACTAGATATTTTCTAGTTAAACAAAATATAATACTAGAATTTTTATTAAAATTATGTAAAATTATTTATTGTGATATTTTTAAAAAATATTAAATGAAGCCTCAACTTCGATTAGATTCATCATTGTGCAGATATGTTTTAAAAGAAAAAAACAAGTTGTCATATAAGTATAAAAAGAAAAATCACATTTTAGTGTAAATGTTCATAAAAAATTATAAATTAGTAAAAAAATTATTAATTTTAATAATTAAATTTTTAAATTTTTTAAAAAATTTATAAATATTTTGTAAAAAGTCCACTAATTTGTAATTTTTTCAATACAAAAAGGCTTTAATCAAAGTTGAGTCGATATTTTTTTTTATTTTTTATATTTGGCTGTTTAAAACATTTTACCTGTTACCCTCTTAAAAACAGAAGAAAAAAAACATTTTACCTGTTACTGATTTTGCCTCTGGTGCCGTAAATTAATAGTTACCTTTCAGTTCGATTAATCGTAGATTCTGATACATGCCAAATAAGGAGCTCTACTCTTTCAATTAATAGATCAGTTCAGGGACTCCTTTCCATAGGATTAGTGATGGAAAAAATATGCTTTTTTTAATTATGTTGTTTAAATCATGAATTTAATTAAAAATTTAGAAAAATAAAATAAAATAAAATAACATATAACTATATTTCATTCATATTTCACATCTTTTTCTTTTCAAATTTTTAACCAAACATGACCTTAGTAGATACACATCTTGATTAGCCTCTCTTGGCCCTAATAAAAAAACTACAAACACCAAGAAATGAAAGCAGACCAAAATTACCTCATTGAAATCCATGGATGCAAAGAACCTAATCTTCATGAAATAAGCCAATTCATTACCGGAGTTATCTCCTGCCCTAGGCAATGATAATGACCTAAAATGAAACCTCAATTCAGATATCCAAATTTAAGGGGATTGGAGAGAGCTAAAGGCTGTTCTTTTGCAAACCTTCAACCCCACACTACCAAGTTGAACATATTCACCCAAATAACAGTCATCAACATTAATTTTAATTTTCCCCTTTTGAGAGGTCTTCCACGACCTAGGGCAAAGCAAATCATACTTCGAACTTGAGAAAAAGCAACCTAGTCCCAACCTCAGAAGAGCAAGCCAAGGGGGCGGACACCAGTAATAATGCTGATTAATAAAGATGATGCAGAAAAACTTATTGTAGGTACACCATCTACACAAGCAAAATAATCAAAGGTTGACAATAGAAATTAGAGACAAAATAAACAACCAATTAACCAACACCTCTTTACCCCCATATATTTACATAGCCATTTCACTCACAATCAGAATAATATGAAGGTCGGACAATAGAAATTACAGACAAATAGAAAAAACCAATGGGGCGACATCAGTTACTCATGTTCAATATGAAACCTTCCAGTGTTTTGACCCCTGATCAGCACTTAACAGAGCATGTAATCAGAAGAACAGTGAAGACTGCAGAATCATTAGAGTTGGTACAAGAGTATGACCTACAAATGACACAAACCAAATTAAACTATTCAATATGCCACTAACATCATTCCAAGTTGATCTTACAAATCAAACTATATTTAAAATAAAAACCAAATCTCGAATACATTTCAAGGACATATTCGAAGAAATTTTGACCACCAGTCAGAATGGTTTGTGGGTTCCGAACATCTATAGTGGCTGAACCTAATAAAATAGCAATTACTGCCCAAGAACTAATACTAATAAGTACTGAGTCGTGGACTTGGAAACTTCAGACAGCTAATCCATAAAAACTAGTTCATTATATATTACAAGTGCACTCCCACTTTGGAAGTTAAACATCCATAAGAACAACTAGAAACCATGTCATTTTACTTCCCAAGATAAAAATGTTTACAGGGAAATTCATAATAGTTAGTGGCCGTTTCGCATCTGCTTTTTTAGTTGGGACTTTTTTAGCTTGGGACTAAAAAGCTCGTTTGATTTGGCTTTTTTTTATTTTTGTGAGAGAAAAAGTGAAATTATTATGGTTTGGATGTAACATTTTGTCTTATTGACTTATTTAGCCTATTTTGTCTTTTGTGCTTTTTATAGTCCAACTAAGTTAGCCAAACGAAGGCTTACTTAGTTTGTTAGCACTTTCCTAACTTGCAGAGACAATAAAATAAGCCCCATCATAAGTTAAGAGATTTGTACAAGTTTACGACCAAAAATAAAAAAGGAATGCAGGGTTTAAAGGCAGTATCTTCAAGTTTAAGATAAAAAGAAGTGTAATTGGAACAAAGTTGATATAATAGAATGCCTTCAAACCATCACATTAAATCAGGTTGAAATATTTAGAGCTTTTATTCCCATTTAATTTTAGCAATTTCAAGCATTGTACTAGGAGAATTAGCAATTGCAAACTCTCATACAATTTGTTCAGAAGTTGCAAAGAGAACAAATCAGAGGATAACCAATGAACTATGATGCCATAACAACCTAAGCAGTAAGGATTGCATGTATAGCATTGAAACTTCCTCGACAGTAACACCTATTTTGCAGGTTATGCTCAACAAAGACAACATTTATATGATAGGACAAACCAGAATGTCAACCCCCACATAGCTCTCTTCTAATCCTCTCTGAACCACCAACGTTGTATTTGGATCGTAGATTTAGATAGGGATTTGAAAAGACAAATGGAAATCCGAATCTCTACCCAAATCCATAACTCAAGCACAGCCTAAAAGATATATCAAGACCCACAAAGAAATAAACATATGTGCACACATAATAGCTATTGTAACTTAAAGCAGAAACATCAAAACAGGCATAAAAAGCTTCTTAAAAAGCTATAATGGACCAACCAATACTGAATATCACTTCCATTTGGTCAGATCCTTGAAGTTAACAACAGATGATTCAATGAACTATTTCTAAACGACCCAGTAAACCTATATCATGACAACAACCAAGACCATACAGATGAAATAGTCCAATTGCACAGCTAAGCCATCGAGAACAGTATCTAAAAAATCACTAAGAGAGAGAAAAGCACATATATCAAGAAGCACGCATACGCGATCAATCCACGGTGCTCATCTCCACAAGAAGCCAATTCAACCAAAAGCCTCGTGCAAACTCGAGTCGACCATACCACGAAAACCCCGGCAATCACAAAAATTGCCGCCCCACCTTGTGGAAGGAACAGACCGATCGCCGATAAAATCACCATAGGCAACATACAGTAACCGATCAAACTCACACACCGATACAAATCCAAGTTCCCATTTCGACCCGCCAACATATTGAACACAATGTAAAGAAACAAAGCTGAAACAGTGACCCAACCCAATAAAATCCCGAAATGTAGCTTCCCAGCAAGCAATTGAAACAACCCAAAAGCCATCACGAAGAGAAACGGACCTGACAAATCAGCATCTTCGTGTAGATTCGCGTTCACTCTAAACGGGTTCGCAATCGATACAGTTTTGCTCCAAATCTGTCTCGTATTGATTCCTAGCTCTTCGAGTAGAGGTGGTTCGTCCTCGAACCCGGTTCCGATTCCCATTCCCGCCATGTTACCGCCGAATTGAGGAGCCGAGAACGAAGTTGACGCCGCGGAAACCGAGCCGATGTCGAAGGACATGAAGGGGATGTTAGGGTTTGCGGACCGTGGCGGCTGGAACGGCGGCGTCGGAAGCCGACGCTGTTGCGCGGCGGTGCCGGGGTTTCCGCCGGAGGGGAACACAACCGGCGGAACATTGAATTCCTTTGCCATGATCGGAGATCTACAAATTAGGGTTTCGAGATCGGAATCGATGTATATGTATAAAATTATAGGAAATTTTCGGGCAAGAAAGTGGGAATTTAGGTCAAAAGCATTGGGAAAGTCGGCGAGAATTCCATAGATCCATGGATTTTGAGAGTGAATTGTCTGAGAGAGAAATAGAAACGGGTTTTGAGGTTTGAATCTGAGGGGTGAGTCGAGTAGGGAAGAGATCAACTGGGACTAGGTTTGATTTCCCATAAAAATATGTGAAATAATAAATTTCAGTGAAGATAATAAATTTCAGTGAAGATTGGGAAGGTCTTTACATATATATATATATATAGCGTCTTGTAATGTTGCAATGGTGTAACCCTTTTGCCAAGTAATGGGGTAACGCTTTGTAATTATTATTTTTTAAAATATACTAGAAACAAAAATAATTAAATAAATTAACTAGACAAATTATCATTAGCTTTATAAACTTTTTAAAAAAATTAACTAAAGACAAAAATATAGTTTTAAAAAAAAAAAATAGATTCTCTAAACGGATCGAAAAAAATAAAAAAATTGGCACAAATTTGAGAGGGAAAAAAAATAAAGATAGAAAAGTAAAAATATGTGACTTTAAAAATTAAAAACTACAAATAAGTAAGCCTTTGCTTGGGAATAACTTTTTTAGTATGGCTTTTTGTTTTTTAATTATTTTAATCTGACTACAAAAGTTCTGTTTTGGATGAATTTTTGATTTTTTTATAATTTTGTAACAAAAAAAATAAAATAATTGTGGTTTAAATATGACATTTTATCTTATTGACTTTTTAACATGTTTTATGTTTTAGTAAACTAACTTAATTCCAATCATTTTGTCAAATGAATAATTTCATTTAAAATATATTATTTACAGCTTAAAAAAAAAAATTTTACAACGCCATGCTTTGCTTTTTGTTTTTCTTTTTTTCATGTGTTCTGCAATTGAGCAAGACTCTCTCAGGTCAAATTTGGGAAGATTAAATAAGTGTACTTTTTGACTTTTTATAAAATATGGGTTGGATTTGGGAAGACTAAATAAGTGCACTTTTTGACTTTTATGAAATATGGGTTGGATTTGGGTTGGATTTGAAGTGATGTTTTAGAGAAGTGATGTGACTTAAATGAGATGATGTGACTTAAATAGGATAGTGACTTTTTGACTTTTAGATTTTTTGAAAGATAAACTTAGGCCAAGTTTGGGAAGACTAAAAAAGTGTACTTTTTGTCTTTTTGGACTAAAAAATTGAGGTTGAAAATATGGATGTTTGGGTTAACATTTTGACTTTTTATTGAAAAATGTGTAATAAAAAATTGTAAAAATTAATTTATAGGGAAAAATTTGATAGGGAAAAATTTAAATTGGGAGTTGTGCAGCTGTAATTGTTGACTTTTGATGAATAGTGTTAACTTTTTAACTTTTTGAGTAACTTTTTAGCTTTTTGGCTTTTTTTGAAGTCCCCAAACTTGGCCTTAACCTCAGTTTGTTTTGCTCGCAATTTGTTATTTTTCAATTAAACGGTTGCCTAGAGCTCTTCTATTATCTATCTTATATTCATTCCATTTTATCGTACTCATACTCCTTCCAATTGAGGCCCTCCTCACCATTCTTATGGGAATGATCAAGATTCATAACTACTCCTTTTAATTTAGGATGATTGGCTAGTCAAAAATTTATCACACATTCTAAGTTTTTAAAATATAGTATTTAGGCCTAGTTTGGGAAGACTAAATAAGTGTACTTTTTGACTTTTTATGAAATATGGGTTGGGTTTGAAGTGATGTGTCAGAGAGGTGATGTGACTTAAATAAGATGATGTGACTTAAATAGGATAGTGACTTTTTGACTTTTTGTCTTTTTTCAATCTTCTCAATCTAGGCCTTAATAAGTTACATAATTTAAATAAATTTTGCGAGTTGAAGTATCATACTTTTTAAAGTATAACTATTTAATTATATGATTTAAATTTAAGCTAAATAAGTAATAATTTGTTTTAAAATTTTAGTTTAAATTTAAATTTAAATTTGTGTACTTAAACAATTATATACTTTTAAAAGTTAAGATGTTTGGTAAATTTTATATATTTTTTGCTGATTCAATTTTAAAATACGGTAATTACTACTCAATTTGTATTTAAAAAATGAATTTAAATATATAAAAAATTTATACAAATGTATGGAATTTTATCATTAATCACACATTAACCAATACTCTATAAAGGATAATTACTATGCATAGGGGCAATTGTTAATGGACACTTCTTAAGGATGAATTAAATCATCTCAGCTACCTCCACTATCATATGAGATTGCAAAAATTATAAATGTGTCTTTCTAGAGACTAAAATACTCTTTTCTTTAATTCTCTCTATTTCAACATTATACACCTTTCAAATATAATTTATTTATTTTTTAAATAATTTTATCATAAAGCTACATGCATTTATTTTTCAACTTAATTTTTTTTTTATATTTTAAATGTCCTCTATTTTTAATCATAATTAAATTATACGAGCATTTACACATAAGTCCTAATCTATGAACTTATAATCCATTAAATCTTAACTAAGATTTTTTGGACCTTCAAGTCCTATTAAATTTTTAATAGTCAAAATTGCCTTTCAAATAATAATTGTTTATCATTTATGGTTATTTGTAAAGGAACATGATGATTTAACATTTATTTTGATTTTCAAAACTTCAAAATATCAACTTTCAAATTGAAAAAACTAAAAAAAAAAATTATGTGCAAAAAAAAATAATAATCAGTGTATTTGGTTTTAGTTTTCTAAAAAGTTGAATTTTTTATTTTTGTATTTTTTTATTTTTAGTGAATATTTTTAAAATTTTAAACATTTTTTTTGTTTTACTTTTTTAAATGCACCATACTTAGATATATCTAAAAATTAAAAAATTTGTGAAAAAATATTTTAAAAAATTAATAAATACACAAAAATATGAAAAACATATTGAATTTTCTTATTTATTTATTATTATTTTTTTTTGTATTTTTCATGTATAGTGAATTTCTTATAGATTTTTTCATGAAAATTATATTTTTTAAGTGTATTTATGTTAGGCGTGTCTAAAAATTAAAAAAAAAATTGCTTAAAATATTAAAAAAATTCAGTAAAAAAAATACGGAAAATAAGAAATTATAATTTTATGAAAAGTGTTTTCAAAAAATTAGAAACAAACAAAGTGATTTTTTTTTTTGAAAAAATTGAATTATTTTTTTGTGCAAAACTGAAAATTTTGTATCTATAAAAGAATATGATGATAGAACATTGATGTGCAAAATTTTAAAAAAAAAATTAAAAATGAAAAAAATTGATATTGTTCTCAGTTTTAAAATTGAAAAAAACTGATATTGTTCTCAATTTTATTAAATAAATCAAACCAATAAGTAGAAAGGCAAAAACGTTTGATCTTATGTTCTGGTTTTTTTATCAGTTAGTGAAATAATTATATGGAATATTACCATTTAAAATTGATAATGTTCTTAATTTTAAAAATTAAAAAAAATGATAATATTCTCAATTTTATTATATAAGACTTATTGGTTCAAAAAATCTTAAACAGGACCTAAGCTACCATAACATTTGTAAATATAACTTTTAGGTAATTAACTCTAAATTATATGGTGTAAAGAAAATGAATCTAAAAATAAAAAGTGAATTTAAAAATAAAAAAAGTAAATGAATCTAAAAAAAATTTAAAAAAAATAAAGGAAGATGAAACTTAAAAAAATAAAGGGCATATAATTGTTTTATATTTGTTATAAAAATAAAAGGCATTTAAAAAAAATCAAAATTTCATTTAAAAATAAATGTATTTAATTTTATGATAAAAAATATTTTAAAAATGAATAAACTCTATTTAAAAAGTTTATAATGTTGAAATAGGAAAAAATGATACCTTAATCTCTAGTATGACACATTTATGGATTTTCTTATCTTTTGTAATAGTGAAAGTGATTGAGATGATTTAATGCATCATTGACGACTTGTTAAGAAAACCCATTGTTAAAAAGACATTCAATTATTTAGTTGAAAAATTGGCCATGGTAATTATATATTTGAATAAAAAAAGTAGTTATATATTTGGATAATATTATACAAATTAATAATTGTTTAGTAATTTTTTTTTAATTTATTTTTTTAATGTAACTTTAAAATTTTAAACAGACTTTCTTTAATAGTTTGTATATGATTAAGAAATAGTTATAAATATTTGAATAATATTATATAAATTAATAAAATTTTATCACTTTTTTTGTAAATTTTATTAATTTCATTGTGAAATATGAAACAAACTCTCTTTAATAAATGTCATAAATTGTAGTGTGTAAACCTTTTACAAACTCAGCACACTATTAACGTGAGTTATCATAATAATTTTTTTTTACAAATTTCTTTTACTCACTATATGGGATTTATTAAAGGGATTTTGTTTTTTAAATTTCTGATATTAAAATTCTAAAAGATGAAGGACATACAATATTTTTATAATAGTTTGAGTCCCTCAATATTTTTACAGAGTTCGACATAGAGAAATTTTGCTCTGGCACAATTTTTTTTTTATTTTTCACAAAGAAATTTCATTCCAACACAAAGAAATTTTAATTTTTACAAAAAAAATTCTTTGATTTCATAGAAAAATTTATCTAATTTCATAGAGAAATTTCGAAAATTTATCTGGCATTAATCACAAAAAATTGAGGGATTTTAGCTAATAAGAAAAATATAGAGAAAATTAGTCTAAGATCCCTCTCCCATTTTTAGTAATAGAAAAGGTCCACCGTATTATTTTATGATGTATAAGATCTCTCACCCACCCTTATATATATCACCCACCCAAAATGAGTCCCACTGAACCCTAATACCTATTTTCTCATTCTCTCTCCTCTTCTTCTTTCTCTCTACAAAGAGATAGAGCCTTTGTCACGACCCAAATCCCCCCCTAAAGGTTTAGCGTCGTAACCGGCCAGTAATCCTTAAATTACCAAAAGCCTTTTAACAGAATTACAAAATATAAGGGGCTATGGAAGCAAATATATAAAACTTACATATCGAGTTGTGCTGATATATATGAGACAGATAATTTTAAACTTTATAAACACACTTGTGACATCATAAAAAGACATTAGTCATGCATCATTCCGATAGACAGATGAAACAAAAGTGGGACTTAGCCCAATGTATAATACCAAAAAGAAAATAGGTCTTAAAAACTTGGACCACAAAAACTTGACTTCTCAAAGAAAACCTCTACGAGAGGCATAGTGGCTGGC